CACCAGGCCGTGGCTGCCACTGATTCTGTTCTGCTCCAGATGCTGCCACTGCTGTCTCTGCTGCTGGGGCTCTGTTCGACGGCTGCCGCTGATGGTGCTCTATTCCAGCTGCTGCCGCTGCTGTCCGCTGCTGGGGCTCTGTTCGACGTCTGCCGCTGATGCTGCTCTGTTCCAGCTGCTGCTACTGCTGTCTCTGCTGCTGAGGCTCTGTTCAGCGGCGGCCGCTGATGGTGCTCTGTTCCAGCTGCTGGCTCTGCTGTCTCTGCTACTGGGGCTCTGTTCGACGGCTGCCTCTGATGCTGCTCTGTTCCAGCTGCTGCCACTGCTGTCTCTGCTGCTGGGGCTCTGTTCGACGGCTGCCGCTGATGGTGCTCTGTTCCAGCTGCTGCCGCTGCTGTCCGCTGCTGGGGCTCTGTTCGACAGCTGCCGCTGATGGTGCTCTGTTCCAGCTGCTGGCTCTGCTGTCCGCTGCTGCTGAGGCTCTGTTCAGCGGCGGCCGCTGATGGTGCTCTGTTCCAGCTGCTGGCTCTGCTGTCCGCTGCTGAGGCTCTGTTCAGCGGCGGCCGCTGATGGTGCTCTGTTCCAGCTGCTGGCTCTGCTGTCTCTGCTGCTGGGGGTCTCTTCAGCGGCGGCCGCTAGCCTGACCGGCCTGGTTTACCTGACCAGCCTATCCCACCTGGCCCATGCGACGACCACCATTCGGCCGGAAGATGACTACAATTGCTGCTGGTGCACCAACCTGCACGTTTTCTGTTTCCGAATGTGTTGTGTTTAGCAGCTCCCGGTGTTTGCCTCTAGTCTCATCCCAGGCGCATCCAAGGTGCATGGTACACATGCATGTGACAATGCTGGACCGTTGTGTGTTCGGTGCACCAGCGCACTCCTGGATGAAACAGCGACGTAAGAGCTGAGTGCATGGAAACTGCCTTCTACCCCGTTTCGCACTTTTGCATGCGCGCTGTTGAAAATTTCGCTTACGAAAAAATAAAGTAAGTCTTTCGGTTGCCACAACTTTGTGGATGGATATGACTGTGAGCACGAAAGAATGCGGCCAACTGAATACCAACCGTGCATCCTTGACGCGTGGATGGAGCCGTAATGTGGTTAACTGAGGTGAAGAGAGAACTCCCGAAGCAACGGGTGGCCGAAGAGGGGGGAAAACGCGAAACAATTCAGTGGTCGCCAAGGCTAGGGTCGCAGCCTAAACTTTAACAAGAGGAGGGAGCACAAGCTTGAAAAGAGGCCATCTGATGGTAAAAGGCCCTCAACAAATCACCAGATATGTCCAACGGGATAACGAGAAAAACGGTTTTCTTTGCTATATTCTTATTTGTATATTCTTTAACTGGACTAGAAGTGAGACGCCATCGCGAGATCAATTCTGTTCGAACTGTGGAGTCGATAAACTGAAGAAATCAGGCGTTAACACGCGCTCGGGTGGGGGTCAAATTGACCCCCCGAAGATTTTTCCAGAATGATTTCCGAGCGGCGCGGAGTAGCTGCGCCAAATTTTGATAGCTGTTCACAATTAAATAGCAAAACGTTTGGTATACAAAATTTAGGTGTACCTTGTAAGGTTACTGGCCTATGGCAGGTCAAAATCAGGCCATGGTTTCAGCAAAGTCAACTTCTAGGGAATCGTTTAATCTGATGCAGCAGCGGAGTGTTTGACGAAGCTACACATCTTTTAAATACTTTATTAGGCAACACAAGTATAGAATGAGCGAATTAAGTTGACCCAAGGTCAGGTATGAAGGTCAGACCAAGGTCAAAACCAACCTGTTTTATTGCACAGGTAATCTTTGTTCCTCATTCCAATGCAAAACTCAGGGCCGTCTTGTATAATTCTAGTCATCATGACCTTCAAAAGGTCAAACAAGATCACTGACCTTAAATGAGCTTGTAACCTTGTGCTTAGAAACAGTTATCTAGGTTCGGGGGGCACTCTGGAAACCAACCTGAAATTTGACCTTGTTTGACCTTATTCGGCCATCGGCCATCGCTGATGGGCTGACTGACTCCTCGGGCCATCACTGGTAAGAGAGTCCTCCGTCAGCGCTGATGGGTTGACTAGCTCGGACCGTCACTGGTAACAAAGTCCTCAACTCATGATTCGCAGCCAAATCTTGGAACAGTTGGCGCGTTTGGCTGCGTCACGGAGATCGTCGTAAAACAAAAGCCTTCTATTTGCAAATCCTTTGAATTTACGGAAGTAAAAAGGGGCTTAGCGAATGTTTACAATGACTCATATAAAGTCCGACAGTTCAAAAATGCATTCATTGCTCCACCATTTCCACTCAGGTGCCCCATGCATTGCGCTGTTAGTAAAATCAGTAGGCTACTAGTCTTATGAAATTCTCAAGCTCTGCTGGCTTGTTTACCCGGGACACTGCTTTTCCAAAACAGTGTTTGCCGACTTTTGCCGCTTTGGGAGTATTCCACTACACAAAACGCACGTAGTCAACCGGGTCCCGCTCTCATTTTCAGCTACAAGACCGGAGAACATGGAGCCCCAGCGGTACTACCGACATCTAGTAACTGTATGCCTAATTATACTCTGACATGCAAACGATTATCAAATGCATAAATCGTGTTGGCTTTTGCTTGCTGTGTCCCAAAGACTTAACAGGCCATTTGAAAGCGTGTTGAAGTCTTACAGCTCTCCGGAAATCGAAACATTTTCGTCACTTTCAGCTAACGAGTGGTAACAGCCGTCGTTTTTAGAGCTGTCGTCATGTTAGGTTATCAACATGTCACGTCATGCCGCATCATGTCCCGTTAGGCCAGGTTATCAACATGCCACGTCATGCCGCATCATGTCCCGTTAGGCCAGGTTATCAACATGTCACGTCATGCCGCATCATGTCCCGTCAGGTCAGGCCAGACAAGGTGAAACCAGGTCAGATCAGGTGAGGCCAGTTCAGGTCAGTTTATCATTTCGTCAGGCCTGCCATCTGGCACATCTGATAAGAGTCAAGGCTTGGCCGGTTTTGTTTCTGGGTGCATTTTGCCCCAAGCCTGCTGGCGCCTCTTCCCGGGACGAGGCCGCTGACATGGCAGCCTCCACCTCTGGCCTCGTAAAACGCTGCTCCACACATGCTGGCACCTCGTCCCGGCACGAGGCCCCTGACATGACAGCCTCCCCCTCTGGCCTCGTAAAACGCAGCTGCAGCCTACACAGCTCTCATTCGCGCCATTTGTGATCAATGGTCACACATGTTTCAATTTTCCATCAGCGTTTCATTTGCCTGTCATTTGTGAGTAGCCCTAGTCGGTAAACCCTGCGCTATCGTAACTGCATTCAAACCGTGCAACTGTAAACGCGTAGATTCGTATGCTCCGTTCAGTGGGCCCGGGCCCAGTCCAAAGCCGCCGTTTGGTTCGGCCGCGACGACCGTATCCCTTGACGTGACATCTCTGACAGATGACGCGTGACATCCGTGACATGGCGCGTCGGCCGTCAAAGGTCACCGTCCACAGCGGCCGTTCCCCGCAGCGCGTCCTGTCTGCGCTAGCCCCGGTCCGGGTGAGACGTCACTGGCGTCCGCCGTGTCTCTTCCTCTCGTGTCTGCCTCGACGGAGCGACGCTAAGACGTGTCTCGTCCTGCCTCTGCCTCGACGGAGTGGCGCTGAGACGTGTCTCGTCCTGCCTCTGCCTCGACGGAGTGGCGCTGAGACGTGTCTCGTCCTCCCTCTGCCTCGACGGAGCGGTGCTGAGACGTGCCTCGTCCTCCCTCTGCCTCGACGGAGTGGCGCTGAGACGTGTCTCGTCCTGCCTCTGCCTCGACGAAGCGGTGCTGAGACGTGTCTCGTCCTGCCTCTGCCTCGACGGAGCGGTGCTGAGACGTGCCTCGTCCTCCCTCTGCCTCGACGAAGCGACCCTGAGACGTGCCTCGTCCTCCCGCCTCGATGGAGCGGCCCTGAGCCGTCCGGCAGAGGGCGCTGCCCGCCGCCTCTGTGGGTGGCAGAAGACGTGGTGTGCAGAAAACCGGACGCGTGGGGGTTCCGGTATACGAGACGGCAGACGCACGAGGAAGCCTTGACCGGAGGTCTCGATACCCAGAGGACGTAATATACAGCCGACGCAGGACCTTGCAGGGTCGGGACCGGGAAGGCACAGGGACGAGAGGACCTAAGTTCCGAAAGATGAGCCCCTGAGCGCCACGCGCAGCCGCGAGACGTTCGAGTTCGATTCCAGTGTCGGTCTAAGCACTAGGCCCCGGCATGATCGGACCCGATAGGCGGTAGGGTTTGGTGTACTGTTTGCGTGGTGGCCTGTGAGAAGCACTTCCATCGCTCGCAAGGCGAGGCCGTGACCTCCTATGTCTGGCGTGCATTCCACGGGTCAGTGCAACAAGCGTCTACTCTCTCACACCTGCAGCTGGCTATCCTGATTCGAAGGCAGGAGAAGCGACTCCCATCGGGGCCAGCCGAGCGGAGATGTCGTGCAGGATTCTGGAGGTCTCGCTTGGCTGGCTTGCGCTCGTGATGGTGGGCTCCAGCACCCTTGTGCTTCGTCCCCTCTTGTTGTTCGTTGCCTTTGGGTCCTGTCATGGGACCCTCCCCAACCTTGGTAACCCCTACCCATCATCACTCTTACCGACCAGCATCACAGTACCAGCACCAGTCAGCAACGTCTCCATGAGCATTAGTGAAAATGTGGTCCCGTCAAGCAGACTCACAGCCTTGACCAGACTGCAGCCTGTCAACGTTGGAAGGTCACTGCCGCCTTCGGCCGGCGGTGGTGGATCGAGCCAAGGCACGATCGTGTTTCCCACATCGCCGCCTAAGGCGCCACCAATAGCCGATCCAACCAAGGACCCCAAGCAGATCCATTTCCAAGACGCGAAACCCTCGTTCAAAACAAATCACCAAAACAGATCGCCTCCGGGCTCCAGGTCCCTGACGAACACCTCGAGGGCTCACAACGTGTCACGTACCGGCGGTCGGCGGGGTGGATCGTCCAGGACGCCGAGTCCTGCGACATTTCGCCAGGACAGATGGTTCTGGTGGTCGTATCTCGGACCTGGGAACTGGTGGTCCCGGCGTCGCTCTCCGCCCTCTCCTACCGCTCGCTGGCCTGGCTACGGTCAGGGTCACCACCCTGGCGCCGCCGGCAATCGCGGCCAGAGAAACAGAAACGGCACCGCACGCCACTTGCCGCCTCCTCCCGTTCCTCACGATCACGACCGCGGTACCAAGAACGGTCCCACGCGCCGTCTACCGTCCCCTCCCGTCCCTCACAGCCATGCTCACAGAACCCACAGCGGTCCCACGCACCGTCTACCGCGTCCTCCCGTCCCTCACAGCCACGCCCACGGAACCCACAGCGGTCCCACGCACCGTCTACCGCCCCCTCCTGTGCGTCGCAGCCACGCCCACGCAAACAGGAGCAGCGCGGCGCGCCGCCTCCCGTCGCCTCCGGTCCCACCAAGGGGCGGTCATGGCCATGGTCATGGGCGCCCCCCGCCAGCGGGCCAGGTGGAGGTGGTGAATGTGACGGCGCTGTACGGTCGCGCCGGCGTTGGCTGCGTGTGTCGCCCACCGGCGGCTTGTCCGAGCGGAGGTCGACGGGCGCTCCGCTGTGGCGCCGCCCACGTCTGCTGCCCGCGGACGGCTGTCTACACGCCCAAATGTGGCCGGCTGAAGGGGAACCAGGTGAGAGGGCGTGGTTCTGTTGGAAGATGCTGAGCCCCAGCAGGAATCCCCTTTGCGGCATGAGTGACAGAGCGTGGGTCTGTGGGAAGGTGCTGAGTCCCAATAGAGATATATTTACTGGGACTAGTGAGAGGGCGTGGGTCTGTAGGAAGGTGCTGAATCCCAACAGGAATCCATTTTTGGGACCAGTGAGAGGGCGTGGGTCTGTAGGAAAGTGCTGAGACGCAGCATGGTAAGGCGAAGAACCGCGAGACACATGAGTAGGCGCTGATTCACAGCATGAAATGGAGATACGATGTGTAGCATTAGAAGAAAACAGGGTCTCAATAGGGAATGGGTGAGAAAACGCGGAGCTTGTAAGGGGGGGGCAGAGTCACGACTTGCGGACATGTGGTATATCCACCGTTAAAAAAATGAAAGAGGTGTCTTTTCAAGAGATCAAAAGGACGGACAAGGCGGGGGTAGTGCGTGGGGATGGGATGGGGGGGGGGGGGTCGGGGGCAGCATTCTACATGCATTGGCTCGAGGTAAGGATCGCGGAGAAGTGTTTTGGTTTGGGATTGGTGCAGCATCTCTTTGCATATATCGCGTATTTTTTATACAGGCGGCTGAAGAAAGCATGACAACCACTTAGTCGCTAATGAAGCATTGCTAATTCAGGAAAAATGCTTACCTTGAATAAAAAAGGTTTGTCTGTAAGTCTGGCATTATCTGGAGGAATCTATATATTTCAATTCTTATTTTACGTAACCGCTGATGGACTCCCCGAGGTTTGTTTTGAAGGTTGCAGTTCTTACATATACATCCCCGCTGCGGATTGCAGTTCTTACATATACATCCCCGCTGCGGACTGGAGAAGTACGGTGTAAATCGTGTGGGCGGTCCCCAGCAAACAGGCAGGCGATGCTGCACTTGTACTGTTTTGTATGAACCGGCAGTACTGCTGGCGCGCCTGATCCAGGAGTTGTGCAAAAAGATGTCCCATCCTCATCACAGCACAGCCGGTGTCGTTTGTACTTGTCACCTGCCCTCGTGTAGCTAGCCAGCCACCACCTGAGGGATTTTGACAAAGATTGGTCTCGGGTGCGGGCTTAGAGGGTTACGCGCGGGACGTGCTGGGAGATTCCAAGTCACAATATGGTTATCCCCTTCTGGTAACATCCTCTGTGATAGGGAGAAACATAACTTGCGGAAGTAGCCTCATAGAGTTCAAACGAAGAGAACGCCGGAAGGTGGGCAGAACGAGTGCAAAGTCGTAGTGTAAGAAGGCGGGCGATCCCGCCAGGATACCTCGGGCTTCCGAATGCGAACAGCTTCTGCCAGCGGACAATTGGGTGTCTAAATCCTCTATGAATGTGGAATTAATTATATGTGAAACGAATGTGTGGTTAAACACACTTGTGTAGTAAGACTGGCTTCTTCTAAACTTGTGTGACATGATTCTGAGAACTACATTTTCTCTTTGTTTCAGGCTTTTTATGTCATGATCCCAGCTCAGTGCATGAACCAACGAAACAAGCGTCAGGTCTTATCTTGGTTGACGCATCTCATCATATATACGTGATAGCTGTTGTTACCAAACCCGATTTTTAGTTATTGGTGTCTGATCGACTTCAACCTCACAGTGATGATTGTCGTGTGCCTAGCCTTTTGCACTAGCTGAGCTTAGTTGAAAAAATTGGTGGCTTCTTTCAATTGAAGTGCTGTTATCAACTAATTGATGTCGCCAGGCTGGCAGCAGCCTCGCGGGCAGCGCACCCTGGGCAGCAGCGCTGCTGCTGAAGCAGCCCACCGGTCACGTGTTCGTGTGTGGCGGGGCACTGATCCACAGACAGGTGGTACTCACTTCTGCGCGCTGCGTGGTCGGGTAAGTAAAGCGTGTCACATAGCGAGACAGGAGGCATGGCTGCGCAATGTCACAGTGGGATGGTGCGCGAGTTGATTTTCTTGTCATGTGTATTTTTGTAAACATTGAGCTCTTAACTCTTAGATGCATGGATTTCTCGGATCAGAGCTCACGCTAAGCAGTGCTTGTTGTGTGAGCTCTGACGCTTCTATCCGATCGTGCAATTCCGGGTCCATGGCAGTACTTGGTGGCAAAATTTTTTAACGCGCCGGAATGCTCGGTATGTCCCGTCCTGCCTTCTGACGTCATCTGACCTTTCGCACGGCCGCAGGCCACGCCCGTGAAGGGCGATCAGCGAGCGCCTAAAGCGACCCGACCCCACCCCGCCACGAGTGAGCGGATCGCAATGTAGGCGCCTTAACCAACTGAGCCATTAGGACGGACCATGGAGCGGACGTTCTAACCACTGAGCCCACCGAATTTGATGACATTTCTTTTGTATACATAACCTGGGTGTCAGCGTACTTTCTGGCGGATCTTAAGCCATTTGCAGTGTGCAGGCTTGTACACTTCCCCAGCTATGCGACCAGTGTATGCGAATGTGTCCAGTGCCTTGGACGGAAGTACGAGTGAGTAGAGTAATTCCTCTGTGTTTTCTTTTTGTTCGCGCTCTTCGGCATTACGCCTACCGCCACACGGCTGCCTCTTGCCGGATGCATACCGTTCGAGTCACGGCTCGTGTTAACACGCAAAAGACGGCGTCCGGTGCTTAGCGTCAGTGGTGTACAACGGAGTGGTGGAGATCCAAGGGAGCTGAAGCTTTCGCTGATTTTGGTTTGATGTGCTCACGCTTTTGTCTCAAGTATGCAAATATGGACAATCAGCATTGTCAGAGGAGTCAGCCGTTTTGTCTCTTTCCCTTGCTGTTTGGGTCGGAAAAAAAATTGGTACCATACCAGATAGCTAGCTAGGTGATAGATGCATTGACATGCTTGCTCCCTGAAATAATTAATAAATGAGGCGCCAAATTCACGAACATGCCACATTCCTAAGTGTCATATTGCAGCGAGATATTAACATCCCATCCAAATGCAACAGCAAACGCACGCCTTGCCAGGTTAGGAAAAAACGAAAACATGTCTTAATGACACGACACCCGATTTCCTACCCGATTGTGTATGGAGAGCGAATAGCGATCTCCGCTGAATAACGCCAGGTGGGAAGCCATGCCAGCGAACGACCCTCCGTTCTTGCCTCGTCCTCAGCCTTGGAGGCCAGAGGGCGCTTCTAGTGGTTCGGTTAGGGAACGGTGCACTGGCCAACTCCAGCCAGTCCTTCCAGGAACTCCAGGTGAGTGCTTGTTCTTGTCGGATTGGCTACTTATTGCGAATCATGACACATGCGACTTTGCGGGGTAGTTCGTTGCTCATAAATTTAGGATCGTTTGTCGGCGAGATCCTTGAGATGCACTGTGTGGCGATACGCCGGGCGGCTAGAACATTAAGTCCCTGAACATCGTGACCTGACGTAAGTATTGTTTGTAAAGCACTTCGTGGTGTCTACAAACAATATCAACGATCATGATCACTCCACCACTGCTTGACTTGTGTCGCGCCTCGCCAGGTGGGCAAGGTGGTGGTGCATCAGAAGTTCCGCTGGAAGCAGGGCACGCACGACGTGGCTCTCCTCTTCCTCAACTCCTCCGCCACGCTACGTCCAGGCCTGGATACCATCTGCGTGCGGCCCGGGGAAGCCGCGTCGACGCGGTGCACTATCGCGACGTTCAAAATTCTCTCCGCCGGTAATGACATCCAGCAGCGGGCAGCTCCTTGGCACGGTCAGTGGCTTGCTACGTCAGGCCAAGTCGCTCATCCAGGGGACGATTGAATTCTCTCCTCTCTCACGGACTAAAAGACTCCTTCACCGCACGAGCTAGCCGCTCGTAGCAAGGTGCGAGAGTGCTCCCTTCTGTGCTTGAACTTGAACGTTTTTTGAACGTCATCAGGTTGTCTATGTGTTCTGCGAACACCTGCAGGCAAAATTGTGACATTTGAAGACCTTTTCGATTGAATGATGCCACCTGCACCAAAATTTCCGGAGGAAATTTTGCTGTGTCAGTGCCAGTGAGCGCCATAAAACTAGGTTAAGCGCCCGTTGCAAAGGTAAAAACCAGCAATCTCATGGGCAGCCAGTGTTGACCCCCGGTCTGGTGCGCTCCTGCAGCGCCGCCGCCAGCCCAGCTTCGCCTGACCCTGGCTCGGCAGACGTGGGTGCCGCGCCCGTCATGTCAGCGCGCGCTGAGCTCCTCGACCTACAGCCCGTTCTTGGCGCCGGCCAGCGGCCTGATCTGCACGGACCCGGACCTGCCGTGTCGTGGGGGGCGGGGCCGTGCTGGGTCGCCGCTGACCTGCGCTGACCTGCGCTCCGGTGAGCACCGGCTGGTGGGCGTGGCCGTCTGGGGCGAGGCTTGCCCCAGACGGTTGCGCTACGGCATCTACACGCGCGTGCAGCCCCTCTACCGCTGGATCGACTTCCACGTGACCGACCACTTCCGCTACTTCGAGAGCTACTTCGGCTTCGTCCAGGCGTAGGCTGGCGGGAGTCGCGCGAAGAAGGGCGTCGGATCGGGCTGTATGGGTGTCAAAGGCGGGTTGGAAGCCGCCGAGCTTACCCAGCGTGGCGTCTGTTAAGAGCGCACACAGACTGTGATGGGTAAGAGCTGCTGAGGTCGAACGGATGTAGACGTGGACAGCCCGTGTGTGGACGTAGACGTCCAAGAAACAGCAAGAAGCAAAAATGAAGGAGAGAAAAGCAAAGAAAACACTTCGTAGCAAAAGATGTGCGCATACGAACTGTGAGCATGTTTCTGCCATATGTAGATGTGCATGAAGTTGTTTTGCTGTGATGGGGAACATGTGACTGTAAGTGTGCCGTTGATTTTGGAGTGTGTTTTTTCAAGTCTCGACGGCTCAAAGTCGGCTGTGAACATAGTTGGTTTGAGTCCGAGTTAGCTCTTGTTAGATTTGGTGGCCTCGTTATCTGCAGCACCGCTGAGGCCTGGTGGCTGCTATTCTAGCCTGGTCTGTTCCGCTGGAACAGACCAGGTTATTTCCAAGTTATTAGGCGGCTTAGACAGTAGTAATAGCCTTACTCCTCGGAGAGATGTGTTTCTCCATTCTCCTGGTTTTTTTTCTGAGGACTAAGGCTATAACTATTGTTTTATCGATGTGCATAATGTTCCTCGCAAATGCGCTGAACAACTTACGCCATTAAGCAGCCCATGATTGGAAGGATGTTTTCTTGCACGTCAAAAGCATGTAATGGTGCTCACAAGGGTCATAGTTAGGTCAAGAACAGACCAGGTCCGATCATAGTATGGTCTACTCATGGCATATGGTCTTGATATCTTCCGATATTCAGGATATGGTTTTGCTGTCTTCCGGCAGATGTGACCACTACAAGTCATTCGCTCGTACCGATTTTTCACAAAGCAGCAACGCAACGCTGTTTGGGTTGGGTATCGTAACTTGGATGACTTCTCTTGATGTTCTGGTGCAGTCTCATATAGCACGACTGACTGACTGGCACAAAGCAAGCTAATAGATGAATTTCATAAGCCATAAAGACCAGGGAGATTGCAGCGACGTCCTGCGCGTAGAAGCAAACCCATGAGCGCAGGCCTTTCCTGAAGATACATGAACCTGACGCGACCTGACCCAGCTACAGTTTGGCTTCCGGAATGTGCTAGATTGGTAGCAAGTGGGGGTATTACTTTTCAAAGCTCGGGTGGGTGTAGGGTGCAGCCGATAGGGTTGACCTGACCTACTCCAAAACCTGATTTCCCTCCGGATTTTGGTCACTTGAATTTCAGTTTTTGATGTCAAAGATTTTGCTGAAATTGAGAGCGACAAAGATCGGTGCGCGGAAGAGAGATTGGTAATTGCAAGCCCATGTCAGAAATGCAGCTGTGAGAAGTTTATAATTGGGTTTACTTCACCAAAAATATCTTACTAAGACGGTCCGGTTATGTTTTTGCCACCGAAAAACGTTTCGTTTATCGTTCTCGAAGGCAGTCTGGAAAACCAAAACGACAAGTGTTATGCACAATGGAGTGGGGCTAACCCATGCAGACTAGCGAAGAGTGTGCCTGTGGTGCATTTTCTATGGAGAGGAATGTGCTGTAGATGCAGGGTCTCTTGTAAATTCTCTCCGATGATATTGCATGAAGACAAACAAAACGTAGCGTTTGTGAGCGGTGTTATGAACGCCTTGAAAACGTCCGTTTACGGAGAGCCCACACACTACTAGTTGAACACCTGGCACCCTGCTATGCAGCAATGGATCATGGTTCAACAATCCCGGGTAAATTTCATGAGCAGTAAAAGCCAATACGGATCTCAAGACAGTATGGTCGCAGTAAATTGGACGTCGCGAAATAGTTCGCACAAGTTTGCGTCTGTCTTGCTCAAAAGCAATGGGAAAAGGCTGTCATGAAAATCAATGATCTTAAAAATGGCTATCTCAGTCAAAAATCCATACAAAGCAGGAACAGCTTAAAAAAAAACAGCTTCGACATACTCAAAAGCTGCCATATATTGCAGTCGATGTTCATGTCCCAATCCAGGGATTACCTCTTGAAAAAACCTGGCAACATTTGCAGGCGGGCAAAACATGTAAAGGAATTGGAAATAGCACAAAAATATCAGTCCCTACAGAAAACTACGTGATCCAGATAAACATGGAACTAATAGGCAATGTTTTCGGGTATCTAGCCCGCGGACATTTCAGGAAAATGTTCTGCATTTCCTTGGTCCAGTATTTTTTTTTTTTTTAATATTCATCGGAGGGTTGGGCTCAGAGATACATTGGAGAGCAGGTCAAATCAGCATTGAGGGCCCTGGTCCTCTGAAAATATATGAAGTAACGTCCATATATAAGATATATGTAAGTTATATATATATATATATAATATATAGATATATATATTTAAGTTATGAAGTAACGTCCGTCGTCGCATCACAAGTGCTGGAAATTTGCCAGCATATCTAAAACAGCTGAAAAGATGCCTCAGAATGAAGAGGCTGCTTGATTTGATCTCTTTGCGTTTTAACTTCGATTTCTTTTATCTGCAAACATGACCAATGAGCTGAGCATTCACATATAGCTTGCAAAACTCCCCAAAAATCGGCTCGCGCTTTGCGCTTTTCGCGTGAACAGGTGCAGCCATAGACCCACACTCTCGCCAGGATGATTCTCTGCTCCTGATCTGTCGTGAACAGGTGCAGCCACAGACCCACACTCTCGCCAGGATGATTCTCTGCTCCTGATCTGTCGTGAACAGGTGCAGCCATAGACCCACACTCTCGCCAGGATGATTCTCCGCTCCTGATCTGTCGTGAACAGGTGCAGCCATAGACCCACACTCTCGCCAGGATGATTCTCTGCTCCTGATCTGTCGTGAACAGGTGCAGCCATAGACCCACACTCTCGCCAGGATGATTCTCTGCTCCTGATCTGGCGAAATGGGCTGGTCTTGTGCCGACAGTGCACAGAACCGTCCAGACGTAGCCGCAGTGTTGACCCGAGTTATACAGCTCGTGCAGGCGGCTCAGGATATTTTTTCTCGTATTTTCCCCGTGGCAAAGAGATGGGCGAGGGAATGTTCTGCCCAGACGGCAATGTTTCGGACAGGTCATGTCACTTTAAAAAAGTAAAACCTTTTGATTGGATGGATTTCTTGAATCAACACCCACGCAAAGAACTGTTTGCTGGGCGCGCTCTGGCCTCAGCATTCGATCGTAATGCCCCGGATCAGCGGCGCAATCTGGCGACGAAAGCTTGACGTGCCGCGATTCTGGGCACGGTCAGTCCTGCCCTCTGACGTCACCTGATCGGTAGCGCAGTTGGTACAACCAGCCGCTGGCCATCCTAGTCCAGAGCAAAACGTAAACGCCAAAAGCGGCTTGAACACACGCCATCATGCTTGGGTGAATCGAAGCACATGCGCTGTGACCGACTGATCTGAACGGGAGCTTGGAATCTATGCTGGAAATAACAACATATTCATTCTATCAAACATTTTGAGCAATTTCGAACAAATTTTGCAGAACTGGGTGCCTTGCTGCTGAAACTGCACGAAGCTGTGCTCTGTAGCTGCTAAGGGATCAGTTTCAATCAATCGGTTACAGTTTTGGACAAAACTGGGCCAGGCCTCGTCTGGCTGCTCTAGCCGAAGATTGTATAAGCATGCAAGCAACGCTGATTCAAACCCCGGGCTTGCTCGCATTCAGTAGCATGCGATTTTCAAAAGCCAGTTAGTGAAAATATCATCGTATACTTTGTGGCATATTTGCAATAGATTAAAGAATAGATTTGCAACTTGAAGATAACTCATATTGCTACGATATGATATCAACACACGCTTTTCATCCCTTTCCAAAGTTACACCAATGGAAGACGAGCGTCCCGTTTTGCGGCACCTGCGTGTGCTTGACATTCTTTATCAGTTTTCATCAGGCAAAACATAAATTGGCGTAAGTTCAAAGCTTCGCACTGTATGCCTGTGCCACCTTTGACACAGCTTGTCTCCTATGATCCCCTTCGGCTCCTACTTCTCTGCTTGAGGGTGTCGTAAATATTGATCTGAGCTATGTCCAGTGCCTGTCCGACCGCCGCTGGTGTTGGCGCGCCACGCGCCTGCTAAAACCAGGCAGGGGCTGCTCTGGCGGCCATCGCAGGCCGGATGCTTACAATCCGATTAGCCTTTGCATTGCTGAAAGTGCTGCAGTATCACCAGTGTATATGTTGGAGTGGTGCGGCCCCGCTGTGCACCGCGTTGCCATGGCAGCCTGGCCGTAAGTGTAAACATGAGACCGGGGCATGCGGCGTCTGTACAGAGTGTCGTGTAAACGGCGCCTGCTGTCCTCAACATACACCTCACATCATAGACGGGAATCGTTCGATTTGCAGTTAAGCAGGAGCAGACGGGGATGCGCAGTCGCCGACGGCATGCGGTAACGGTGTGTTTAACAAGAGCGAAGGCTTGACATCTCTGGCAGGTGATGTTCACGTATAACAAGAGCGAAGGTTTGACATCTCTGGCCGGTGATGTTCACGTATGGACGGGAGCATAACAAACGCCGGATACGACAAAACGCGCTTTATTCAACTCGTTACCTAACACGAGCGGGGAAGACCAAGGTAAAACTTTTCAGACCACCCTGAACATGGGTCGTCTGTTACCACGATAGCCGAAATGAGTAATTAAGGCTCAGTTTCTCCGGTGAAATTGCAGCTTGCAACAGATCGTCCGTGTCTGATCGCCCTTTCGCCTTCCATTTTCTTAAGATTTTTAGTTATCTAGTGTGAGACGTTTGTCGATTATTTTCCATGCCCCACTGCTTCGTTGTCGCCGTTTTCCACCTGCTCGCTTTAGCACCGCCATGGCTGTCTCAGCTCTTGCAATCTCCGATCGTATCGCCCGCTGTGGTGTTCTTCCCGCTCTAATAGCCGGTGGACACCAGCGTGTGCGGTGGCGGTGGCGGTGGCAGGGACACTTGCACCGGCGTCTGGACTACCTGCACGGGCACTGGCTGATGCTGCTGCTGCAGCCTGTCAGGCAGACCACTGGCTGGGAACGCCGCCAGCTTCTCCTGCACCCAAGTCAGCAGCTTCGGCACGCTGGCGTACACGCCCGGCACGCCACCCTCGCCGCAGCCGATGCCCCAGGCCACGATGCCCGCCTGGACTACTTGTTGGGATCCGTTTTGCTGGGACAGACCAGCGGCGAGCCGCCGTCGCCCTTGCACGTGTCGACGCCCGGCTCGCCGCCGGCGCACGTAAACGAGTCGTGCAGCTTGAACCAGCGGCCGAGCCGCGTCGTGCGCAGCTTCGTCTGGCACGCATCGTGCGGTACGATGTTCAGGTCGACCTGCTTCATGATGTTCTGGTAGGTGCCGCCCTCGAACTTGTCGCGGCCGAAGCCCGTCGCCACGCAATGCGCGTAGTCGAAGTCCTCGTCCGGCTCCGGCAGGCAGATGGTGTCGATGTGCGGCTGTAGAGTCACCTTGCCGTCCAGGAACAGCAGCGCTACGTCGTTGAAGAGCGTGCGCGGGTTGAGATCCTCATGCACCTCGATGTGTTTGACGTGGAACTGCTCGTGCGGGAAGATCTCCGTCTCGCGCTTGGTGTCCCAGTCGCCGAGACGGACTACGATACTGCCAGCTCGCTTACTGAAATGGTACCAAAGTTATGAGCATCGTGCAGACAGTGGTTGAAAGGCGGGGAATCTTGCAATGCCTGTTCGCCTGTGTGTGTGACAGCGTGATGTTAAATGCAGAGGCGTGGCCAGGATTTCGCACAGGGGGGGGGGGGGGGGGGGGGGCAAAATTAGGACATAGGAGCACTTTCAGCCAAGTTGGCCCGCTTCGTCGCTATCAGCGACCTGCTTTTTATTTGTGAGACGTTTTTGTGCTTGACATCGCATTTTGGTGCTTTGGGGGAGCATTTGTTATATTTGAAAATCTCAGGGGCGTTAAAAACTGCCGAAGAAGTACTACAATTTTCTGCCCCCCCCCCTTTTTCACCCCAACTTTTCTACCCCAGGGGTCGCGCTACCTTCAGCGTGTGTGTGTGGTGGGGGCGACATAGTCGCAACACAAGTCCCAGACCAGTCCCACCCTTGGCTACTGGACTGGTCGCATGCCGTTTAGCTTCTCAGTTTGCAGCAGAATTTTGACAGAATGACAACCTTTGTGATAAAACCCGGCCTCCACACGGCTGGGTGAGGTTGTAAGCCGTCGAACTATACTCTGGCATGAGGGTAAGGTTGCGTCATCTTTGCAAAATGACAAACTTGAGCAAAGGCGATAATGTTCAACAACTGCTGTTAGGTAAAACGAAATCAAATCTCCTAAAAACTGTTGATGGCTCTTTTGAGCTTTTGGTCGATGATGAGTGCAATGAGCTATCGCCGATTACGCAAAATTATTGACGTACCCGCTTGGGGTGTAATAAAAACAAGAGATGCAAACTTAATGACATAAAAATGCATACACGCATCGGACCATGCATCCGTGGTATTCGCAGCATGACACATATCACTTGTGTGTCACAGTAAGCCGCAGCATTCCAGGAAATGTCTGCAAATCTGTCAGAAGAACACCCCCATATTAAACATCTCGCATTTATCCCTGCATTGAGATCACGCTGCCCTGCAGTTCCCGCCACCACTCATATCTCTATCGATCTCATATCGATATCGATATCGAGCTATCGATCTCAGCAGATCCATGCAGACTCACTCGTTCACGCAGTGGCCAGCAGTCAGAATGACGTCATCAGCTATCAGAGAGCCGCCGCACAGGTATTTCTCCAGACGTTTACCGCCCTGACGCTGCTCCTCCAGAATAATCGCCATCCACGGGAACTCTCCAAACTGGGACTCACTCTCCTGGAACAGGGCGATTCGCGGTTAAAAAAAAAACTCCACAGAGCTGTCACTGGAGAGATGATCTAGCGAAGTGTCGATTTAGAGACAATGCAGACATACAAACGACTTCATTTGGACAATTGCATTCTATACGTGAGTAGAATACTAGCGATCAAGTCGGGGCAATCACCCTGGCCCTACCTCTTAATGTCTAGTTGTTGCCAAGCTTTGAAAAAAACTTCAAGCGTCTACAGACGACGTGCTGGGAAGCACACTACAAGCTGAACTATTACCCCATTGGCGTGCGTTGTGTTCTTGAAAAATATACCAGACATGATTTTGGATCCCGAATTAAACTTCCTGTCGTGTAGTTTACCGCAAGTTACAACACCTGGCCTCACCTTAAAGCCCTCCAGAGACACATGAATGCCCTCCGGATTTCTGTGGCCGCAAGAAGGCACGTACTCCTCCTCCGTTAGCTCTTCCACAATTTCGGGCAGTGGTTTGGACTGTGGGACCTTACAGCAAACATCCAGGAAGCTCTTGCACTGCGAGTTGGACTTCGGGCCTTCCCCTTCTGCGGGGCCGAAGCGGATGTCAATCAGACCAGCGCCGTCCGTGATAATGTCACCTCCCTTGCAAAGATAGTACGGCACGCAGATGCAGTCCTGAATGATCTCCTCGTGAGTGTCTTCGATGACTGAGATCTCCCCGCCACTGACGGAGGTGGATGACGATGCCCCACCGCTGGAAGCGGCTGAGGCAGCTCCACCAGCGGCAGCTGAAGAAGAAGAGGCTCCCTGTCCTGCACCGCCAGCAGCAGCAGACGAAGCTGCTCCGCCACCAGCAGCCGAAGACGAAGCAGCGCCACCACCAGCAGCCGAGGACGAGGCAGCTCCAAGTTCTAAGCCACCACAGCGGCAGACGAGGCAGCTCCACCACCAGCAGCCGAAGATGAAGCGGCTCCATGTTCTCTACCACCAGCAGCAGCAGAGGAAGCGGCACCACCGGCAGCAGCAGACGAGCAGCTCCACCACCAGCAGCCGAGGATGAAGCGGCTCCATGTTCTTCACCACCGGCAGCAGCAGACGAAGCGGCGCCACCAGCAGCAGCCGAAGAAGAGGAACCTCCAAGCTCCAGACCGCCAGCAGCGGCAGACGAGGCAGCGCCACCACCAGCAGCCGAGGACGAGGCAGCTCCATGTTCTTCACCGCCAGCAGCGGCAGACGAGGCAGCGCCACCAGCAGCAGCCGAGGATGAAGCGGCTCCATGTTCTTCACCACCAGCAGCAGCGGACGAAGCGGCACCACCAGCAGCAGCCGAGGACGAGGCAGCTCCATGTTCTAAGCCGCCAGCAGCGGCAGACGAAGCAGCGCCGCCAGCAGCCGAGGATGAAGCGGCTCCATGTTCTTCGCCACCAGCAGCAGCAGATGAAGCTGCTCCACCACCAGCAGCCGCGGACGAAGCAGCGCCACCACCAGCAGCCGAGGATGAAGCGACTCCATGTTCTTCGCCACCAGCAGCAGCAGACGAAGCGGCACCACCAGCAGCCCGAAGAGGAGGAACCTCCAAGCTCCAGACCGCCAGCAGCGGCAGACGAGGCAGCGCCACCACCAGCAGCCGAGGACGAGGCAGCTCCATCGCCACCAGCGGCTGAGGAGGCAGCGGCTCCATGTTCCTCACCCCCCACGGACGAAGAGGAGGCAGCACCGTCTCCCGCAACTCCAACCGTGACCGACGAGGCAGCTGCATCCCGAGCAGACGAAGAGGCAGCCGCTCCTCCGTCGCCGACTGCAGCAACGGCCTCCTTTTCACCCTTTTCACCGCTCTCCTCGACAATGATTTTGGCCGACTCGGTTAGGTCCGCAGCACACGCCTCCAGGCCGTAGTCGGCGGCCTGCGCTACCACGATCTCGATGATGTCATCGCCCCCCGAGCTGACAAAGTAGGACGTCTGGGAGGAGTGTGACGACTGCGAGAACTGTCTGCTTGACGAGCTGCTCTGGTGGGTCACGACCCTGCCGTCGCCGACCTGCGCTGAGATGTCGATCCCGCTTCCTACTGAGGGAACACCTCCGATGGAGGCGAGGCCGCCCTCACCGTCTCCTGAGAGAACACCTCCGCCGGAGGCGAGAAGGACGGACGGCACACCGACATCCAGCTGAACGCCCACGCCATTGCCGGCACACGCCTGGCAGCCGTCGGAGTCCTGCCCTGCATGGTCTTGGCTGGCTGGCTGGCTGAGCTGGCCGCCCAGACTGCCAGAGACGAGGACCGGCGGTGGCGCTGGATGACTGATGGCGTCCTGATAGGTCGGCAACGCTGTCGCCAGGCCCACGCACAGGGCCAGGGAGAGGAGCCGCATCTTGCGCTGGAACCTGCGAATAGGATCAGATGTGGTGAGTGGAACAAAGTCACAAACGTACAAACCACGTCAGTCATCAGTGACTTTGACGGTTTGTGCTTCCTTGGAAGGCACACAATTGGTGTAGCGCTCGTGGAGTACATCACCAGATGCTTTAACTCCTAGCACGCCAGGTGGTAGAGGTCGGGGCAGCTCGGTGGCGACTGGACCGTAATACGTCGTATTTGGTGGGCTAATTTCAGAGTTGCCAGCTGGACTGAATCTAGCCATGCAGATTTCAGCTCAATGAGAAGCACGGTGTCTGAGTTGATGCCTGGTCGTTTTTGTGTGGCATCTAAACGCGGATATATTCCATGTCCTGCACATATATTGTGAAACTGTCGAAAACCACAACTCCTTGCATTCGTTTGGAAGCAATATCGGTGTGACTTTGTGAACTGCGATTACCTGACCTACCATGACACTGACGCAGTAGGTCAAAACGTACAACTGACTTAAGCAGAGAATGAGTTTTGCTGTGGATTTTTAAAACAATTAACCAGGCACCTGCCACGTTATTTCACCGACGTTATTGAAAAAGTTCATACTGCAACGTTCTGTCTGCTCCGCCCAATGCGCAGAGCTTCAAAATGACCTTTCAACACCTCAGGTCATACAGATGTCCAGGGCTCCCGATCCACCACTGACAATGACATGCTGTTCTTAGCCATGGATTGGTGGGACGCGTATTACTGTTTACGTGATGCTGGGAGCTACGCCCACTCCCTACCCTTTTTGACATTTTCGAAACCGAGAAAATGACCGGGATCATGAATTCTGTTCTCACAGATTGGTTCAAATGAGCCTTGGTATTGTTTTCACAGATGCTTTCCAGACTGCTACAGACAGCCGTTTATCACTGTTCAAGCGACATTTGAATAGCGTTCTGAGACTGATTAACCTGTCTGAAAAGCTAATTTGGCATTGATCTGTCAATATTTGAGATTCCTGAAGCCTCCAGAGATGACTCAGAAACGGTTTTTAGGAAGCATGGCGGAACAAATCACGCACGGTATCAGGCGAGCATGCCGCTCAAGGCTCTTGGGCCTTGTCAGACCGAGGCAGGCCAGAGTGAGCCACAACCTAGCTCGCTGCACTCCGACATTGGGTGCGTGTGAAATGCCCGGGTAGATCCGGGAGCTATAAGAAGAGAATTTTGGCTCTTTACTGCACACAGGAATAAGGCTAAAAATGAGATGTGAAAACAGCGCCATCTGATCAGCAATGGTTGTAGAAAGCTTGAGATACTGGAATGTATGCAGCGTAACATCCATCTCCGCATCCATCATCATTTCGCTTGGGCAAACAACAAAATTAGATTTGAGGAAATGACGACACGCAATGAAATAAGGGGCTAGATGTAGCATGCATATTATTTTGAAATGACTTGTCAGGCAATTAAAATCAAGTTCCTTCTTTTCTTACCGCTGCCCTCATGCGCATCACCATTGCGAATATCTAAGAGATGAGCATATAGGTGCGAGCAGTGGTTATCAACCAATATGGGCAAACATTACAACGCCAGCACTGTGGCGTTCCAGTGGGCCTACGTTCATTACTGCAACAATGGTTGCTTAACGCAACAGTTTCTCTCACGCAAGCTGCTTGCACTAAACCATGGCTGTAAGGCTCAATCTAATGAAGACATAAAACTCGTACAAAAGTTTCCAAAGCTCCAAAAACATTTCACATATTTTCCACCTGTAAGCTTTGGCCAGAGCGGCTTATCGCCAATGAACGCAAGATTCAGTTAGCCGTTCGCTTATA